TTTTCTGGGGGCGGAGCTTACCCACACAGTGCACTATTGGTTGTATGGGCTATTAAAGGCATTTCGACTATGACGGATTAACAACAGATTTAACTGGAGATTTGCTGAATGTAATAAACAATGACCACTACAAAATTCGTAATATGTCGGTGGGTCATCTATTTTTCAAATTATCGATTGATTAAATCTTTTGTGGACACCAGATTGGATTCAGATCTTATTTTATAATGGTGACTTGGATACACAGAACAACTTCCTGAGTGCTCAGAACTTTGTACGTAATCTTGCTGCTAGCCAAGGACTTTCAGTATGTTATTGATTTTATTGATTTGTTGTTTAATTTTTTAATGGCAAATACTCCAATAAGCAACTATATAAGCTGCTCACAAGTACAGTTCACGTATTTTTCTCATATTTTTTATTCTCCTAAAATCAGAATCTTGTTTTTTTAGCACATTCTACGTCCCCAACCCAACTCTGCAATAAAAATTCCAGGTTATCAGAGAAGACACCTGGCGTGCCAATTACTACCGTGGAATTTATGCCGATACAGATGGTGGTCTGCGAACCCTGTACGATGGAAATCTGCATGTGATTTCCATACGGGTACGCAATTTTGCGTAAATCTTGCGGTTTTGCCCAGTTTTCTATAGTTTTAGGGCGCTGGCCAATCCGCGGCGCTTACGCGACCCGCGCAAACGCTACAAGTTGTCCGCAACTTTGTCCGCGGGCTAAGCTATGATAATTGCTTGAGCGCTTTGAATTTGGGAGCTGCACCTCTTCTGCCTGACTACAGTCAGCAACTCAATCCAGACACTTCCCGAATGGAAGCAGATAGGGTAAACTGTACATCCGTGTCTGCAAAGTTGCGTAGTTTGGTGTGTGTCATTTAGATTGTCAATCTACCTGGTTTAACATTCGAGACAAACTTTAATCAATATTCCGGATATCTTCGAGGTTCCGACACTCATATGTTACATTATTGGTGAGTAATATTTGACATTA